GCTCCTTCCTGCTCGTGCTGGTCAACAAGGTGGTGCTCAGCACCTACAGGTGAGCGAGCAACGCCGCCCCCGGCCCCAGAGCCACGGCCAGCCGGCCTGGCCCGGCTTGCTGTCCTCCCGCCTGTGCGCGCGCACATATCCACGCGCAGGTGCAGAGATGCGGGTTTGTATCCGTGTATGTGTTTAGACAAGCATGCTTGTGCAGGTGTTTACATGTATGCGTGTATACACACGTGCATGAGTGTGTGTACACACGTGTGTGGGTACGTGGATACACACATACCTGTATATGCGCACGTGTGTGTACACATGTATATGCGTGGGCATGAGTGCATACACACTTTTAAGTGCCCCTGTGTGTGCCTGTTTGTGTGCATGTACGTGTGGGTGTATATACACGTATATGCCTGTGTATGTGAATATATACACATATGTATATGTGAGTGTGTGTGCGTACACATGAGTTTGTAGTCACACTCTTATAAGCAAGAGGATTGTGGGCTATTTGTTAACTTCCTGTGGTTTTGATCCCATCTCTTGGTATTTCCCAGCTCTTACTCTTTTTATGCAAAGAGTTTTGCAAATGACACAAACACAGCAGAGGAAACAATGCCTCTCTGTTGGGAAAGAAGGACAGAGGCAGCCAGCCAATAAAGGGCAGGCCTCTGTAGGGGCGTATTAAGAGCTTGGTTTCACTTTAGGTAAAAAGGCAGCAAGAGAAGATATGCAGCTGCAGGAGTTCCCACTGCAATGTTGGGGCTTCAGTCCATACCCTTTACCCTAACATTTACTGGAACCATTTGGAGGCATGTTGGTTGCTGTGCTCTAAAAGAGGGAGCGCTCTGTTATCCAGGGCAAAAGAACAAGAGGATTCCAATGCATACATATGGAAATTTGAAACTGCTGGGTTCAAGGCACCTCTACATATTTTAATTTCCCTTTCATAATCTTTTCAAGGAAATCCTTACCATTCAGGACCCCCAGAGATGATACACCCTAGACAGTCACCTAGAAACATGTGCTGGCTCTGCACAGATCACATAAATGCTTCATAAGCCTTCTTTGGACTAGCATGAGTGCTTTATATTGTTCAGCTTGCACCTGCATGATAACGTTGGTCAAGTCTTGTAGTTCAAAGTTTGTCTCCTCAAGGAGTAACTCTTGTTGCTAAGGAAACACTCTTACCGTTGCAAAGCAGGTTTCCCTACATAACTGGAATGAGAACAACATTCACAATGCTTTCGTGCTCCCTAAATTAGTTCTGTAGTTTTGAATACAGTGATATAGTAAATGTCAAAAACATCCTAAAACTAACCTTTACAAGGAACAGGTCAGTTAGGAATTAATTTCTTTAATTCAGATATATTTCCAGTATGCATTAATGAAACCAGTCTGGCAGAAAATCATTATAAATTTTGCTCTGTCCTTTTATAGAAATAACATTCTGTTTTTGTGATTACTGAAAAATAAACCAACTGAATTGATTACTGAAAAATATCACCTATTTGCTTAGCTGTCAAAAAAACAACCAACCCACTTGAGATCTTTGATTGTATTTAGATTCTGTTCAAAATTCCTCCTTACGTGACTTGCTTGAGTTCACATAGGAGCCTCCAGTAAATCCAAGAGCTGATCCTTAAATTTCCTGAGTTCCAGCCATGCTCCTTATCTATAAAGATCTACTCGATTCTTTCTTATGCATGCAGAAAAGGATCTTGGGGCAATTGCAAGCTGAAGTTCAACATTGAGCCTCAGTAACACAGACCTCTGCAGCAATATGGAGTTGCATTATCTTACTGTAAAACAAAGTCAAATACAGAAAGAAACAAGCCCAGTTTTTGTAGGTGAATAAGAGTCATATAAAGCAAAAATTAGTAAATGAACTTAATTGAACAGCAAATGAACGAAATGAACAGGGAATCGGGATGTTTTTCAGTGTTCCTGTCACTAAAAGCAGCTTAGGAAGAAATCCCCACAATCATTAAATCCTTCCCTCGTGAGTAAGAACAAAAACACTTACTTTCCTATTTTGAGAATTCATCAAAAGCAGCTCAGGAAGAAATCACCAGAATCATTCAATCCTTCCCTCATGAGTAAAAAGAAAAACACTTTCCTGTTTTGAGAATTCTTCACAGTCCAACAGCAAAACTACTTCTCAGTCATACACAAAGAAGTGGCTTTTCTTTAAATATCTTTCCAGTCCCTATTTAGGACCTAACTTCCTACATACCTGTATGGACAGTTTTGTAGGGATCAGTGCTTCTTGTATGTTGGTAAGGAAGTTTTGCAATTAAGAATCACAATAATATACCAGACTTCAAGTGTTTGACTTTGTAAAGGGAGAATTTTTAAATACGCCGTATTCTAAAATATAATTTTTTGGCTTTGTATGAAATTAAAATACATTTTTACTAAACTAATTATTAAATAAATAAATATATTATATCTTTCAGCTTAAAAGAATCACAAAATTACCATCCTCTTAGCTAATATAGTATGTCCAAGATTCTTCAGCAGTATTTTAAGCGAAGTTTTGCTATCTCTTTAGGACCCATTTTTTCCCTTTTAACTTACTATTTATTTATATGCTCTAACAAAGAAGGCAAACAGCACACAGTATGCCATTTTGCTTACATTTTTTAAGAGTACTGTTTGAAATATACCACAGTTATGTAAGTTATGTATTATATGCTTCTCAGATTTTGTTATAAGTCAAGGGTTTATTTCCTATGGAGATGGATACAGACCAAATACTAACACAGCGATCATGGGCAGAACTAAGATTTTGAAAAAGGGAGTGCAGGTGGTGAGGTGCATCAGCACATATAACAATACATATTTTTTCCAGTTAAAAAAAAATAAAAGCATTACTAATATGCTGGCAGCCCAGGGCTATATTATTTAGTTTAAGAGTGAAGCAAAAGAAACAATTTTATTGGAATATGCATTAATTTGCTATATCTTATATATAAAAGCACAACAAACTAGGCAAAAATTATCAAAATATGTTGTTTTGTTAGTCCGTGAGTCATTAGAATTAAACCTGTATCTCTTTTTCAGATTTATAAAACAAAATCTAGCCTTGCGGAGCATATTGACAGTGCTTCCAGTGCTTCACTGACTTATTTCCACACCTGAATTAATGTTTCTGGCTAGAGTTCAAAGCAATCTGCAGGGCTGTGAAATAGGAGCTATAGATGACAAACAGAAGAATTACAGAAGAAAGGTTAGTTTGATTAGTGGAAAGGTTAGAGACCATGAAAAAGGAGAGAATCATTAACACCTGTAGAAGGAAGAATTTAAAAGGAATCAGGTAGATTATAATGAAGTTTGAAGCCATTGACTCTGTCACTGCTGCCTGAATAGAACGGTACTGCCACTGCCAGGCACTTGGTTTTAAACTTTGAGCAGAATAGGAATCAAAGGAGGTTGCAACTGCACTACTGCACTGCCCCCACCCCCATCCACCCACCCCTGGTGCTGATGCATACTGAAAAACAGGCTCAACTCAATTTGTATGCAGCATGCCTATAAATGCCTATCATTTCCTCTGTGTGTTTCCAGGAAATAGAGATTTGGGAGTCTTTCTCTTTGCTAGGGTTTTCTGACACTTTATCAATGTTATGTCTCTGGTGTAATTATGACATTTTTTACTGCTGCTGTTTTGCTAATACCGCATTCTCTTCCTGATGTCATTCAGCTGAAATGATAGTTCCTAGGCTTCTTAGTGGTGCTTGAATTGTTCTTGGTGATTGCTGTGATGTATAATCACCTCCTTATGGGGTAGTGGAGCCCCGCATACCTAGAAGATTTGCTAAGAATACTTCATGGAGGTTTTACATATAGACTTGCAGTGAAAACACTAAATCATTATTGTGATTCATGTTTGCGTATTAGACCAACCCTTAGCAAGGCCCTCCCTGCAAAAGGCTAAGTGCATGCAGGAAAACAGTGACTCAGTAAGCCAGAGGTTCTAATCTGTTGTTTATGGGGCAAGAGGTGTGTGTGGGAATTTGTTGTCATATTATCTTTTTATGTCAGTCTGCCCAGGAAGAATTAGTACCTTAACTTAAAAATAAAAAAGAATAATAAAGTTAATTTTAATTAACTTAACCTGGATTTTACTAAAAAAAAAAAAATGTGGAGGCTCTCACTGATCCTACAAACACTGTGCTAAAACTGTGTCATCTTTTCCATTCAAGTATTTGTGCTTTAGGCTGAAACTAGACATAGCAGGACAGAAAAAAGGAGAGAAAAACATCACAGAGAATTGCCTGTTAAAATGGTCTGGAACACTGAGCTCACAGCCCCAAGGTTGTGTCACTGAGTCTTTTCCTGGGAGTTACAAAAAGTTTCTGCATATATATAGTTTCCTTTAATAATTGTTTCTAGACAATGTATCTGTGGAGATAAGCTTCTATCTCTAAATGTCTACAGAAATTTTAATTGAATACACAATTTATGGGAGTATACACTTCAAAGAACTACCAATAAGGAAGTATAAATGACATTATAAAATGTATGTTTAAAGTTCTCAGATTTGGTTGCACAGATCATAGTTGGTTACCTGTGGCATAGTGAGTACTTAAAATTAGCCATTGCTTTCTTGTAGGAATCTTTATTTAGTTATAAGAGTACAGAGATTTGGGGGACTTCAGTTAGAGTTGCTGGTTGTTCAGCAATTTTGAAAATCTGGCTAAGTAAGCATTTAGGTGAGTAATTATAGATTTAGAAGCTAGACTTTACACATCTCCTGCTTTCTTTGGGTTGAGGATGTATATTTATAATTGTCTCTTCATTTCAGCTTCCCATCTCCAATGTTTCTTGGAATTGGGCAGGTATGTTCAACAATACAACTTATATTGTAGGTAGGACTGATAAAGAAATTTGAAGTATTTTAATGTAAAGGAACATTAGAAGGAAAGAGTCGTCATATAGCACAATAATACTGTTCTAAAATAGACAAATTCTGAGGAATGATTTGTTTTAACAAAGGTAAAGAATGTAGGAGCCATTTCAGTTCTGCAAAAGCATTTACAGTCTTTATCATAAATTTGGTTATGACGTTTCCTTTGTGGAATTTCCTTGTGAACTGGCCCCATGAACCAACCCTGAGCAGATTGACTCTGGCATGTGGGATGCAGCCTGGGGACTGGTCCTGCGCCACTCATCCAGCCTAGGGGCCAGAAGTTTGAACACCGCTGTTCTAGCCAGTAAAGCATATCACATTTGTATTGTTGTTTCAATTAGGTGACAGTCAAAATTGGTACTAAAGAAAAAATGCCAGCTGTTTCACTGTGCTCCAAAATGTTCTTTGAAAGAAACACCGGACTGACATAGGCCAGGGACAGTCATTACATGTTTGTTGATATAAGTGATCAGAAACCGTCTATACATGAACAGAACAGAACAGAAGTTTGGCATGCATAGCCCGGTTTAAAAATGGTAGAACCCAGTCTAAGATTTACCCCCACTCCTGCCCCCCTAGTAAAGGGCAAAGTGTATGTTTTGTTCACTACCGATCTAAAATACGCCACATAGAGAAAACTGTGTAACTTAGATCAGTTCTGCATCAGGTTTCCTGAATGTCTGTACCTAGCCATATTATCTAATATTTATCAAATATGTATCCTGAACTTGTCTTGAAAGCTATTGATACACATGCATTTTATCAGTTTAAAGTAGCCTTTTGTTCTTATGTGTTTCTTGCCTTTTTTTCCTTCTTTTTTTTAGATGGCCACTACCATACTTATCCTGTATGTATCAAAACTAAATAAAATTATTCACTTCCCTGATTTTGACAAAAGTATCCCTGTGAAGGTAGGAACATTGTTTGGGTTTGGTAGTTAAATTGTTAACAGTGTTTTTATGGCAGGTTTTCAAAGATGTTTTCTCTGGAGAAAAGCTCTAACAGAAAACTAGCAAATGTTTAATTTCCTAGCTCTCTTCTACCAAATGTGATTATTTTATACTTTTGTTTTATTAATCTGTTGTAAATTGATCATTTAGTTTTATTATAACAGTCTTGAATTTAACAGCAAGAATTACAGTGTATAACCAAACTGTAGTTTCTGTTTGGTATCAAGAAGTGGGAGCTTTGGAGCTTGGGAAACTATTTTTGATAGCCATAATACCTCCTTAGGTCAGCCTCATAATATGACTTCAGTATTCTGCTTTCCCTGCATGCGCAGATTTTTTTACAGGTGTCAAGTGAAGATCTGTGTTTGATGTAATAATAAAATGTTCTGGCCTATTATAAGGAGCATCTAGAGGAATATTGCCTTAATATTTACACAACAATACAGAAGTAGTGTTTAATTATTGCTTTGTTTGTGGGTCCTTAAATGCTGAATGTGATATTTTGGCCCCACTGTGATCAGTGGAGCCAAAGTGAATGCTTGTTTTTCTGTTGTAAGACATAGGTAACTTCTGTTGCTTTCAGTCAGGATTACTCAAATTCTTCAGTAATCAGAAATACTCTGATGATATATTATATTGGTTCCTAGGTCCCTGACCAAATTTGAGACCCATTATGCTAGATGCTGTATATGCACATGAGTAGAGACACATTCTGTACTCAAGGACTTATAGTCTAAACAAGCAAGACAAACAGAGCAGGAGAAAGGATCTCTTATCTCAGTCTGTGAACTAAGGCAGGGAGTAACTGAGGTAGCATTCTCAAGTGAAAGGATAACAGGCAGAATCTTGCAGAAATCATTGGGACTTTGCATGAACTCATGCATCTGCCCATATACATCTTATAGGCTTGTGGTCTAATTTGGTCTGTCCCAGGTCACACAGGAAGCGTGGCTGAGAATTAAACCCAGATTTCTTGTATCACAACCTGCTGTCTTAATTATGGAATTATTTTTCCTGTAGGGCAGGGTTCTTCAACTTACTTGGCTTTGTGGGCCTGATCTGGACCGTGGGGCTTCTCACAAGGTAGATGACCTACCTTTTGTGGCAGTGTGGCAGCTTGACCAAAGCCCCGAATTAGGCAGCAGGCAAAGGAGTGGGTTGTCAAGGGGTGGCTGTATTAACTTTTTGGGTTCTGGAGCTGGACCAGTGCAGGAGCTCTGGTAGCACACTGACAAGCTCTGCAGGCCACCAGTTTTTCTGTGTAGGGCCTAAGGATTAGCATGGCACAACTAAGGGAGCCCTGTGTGCATTTAGCTCCCAAGGACCCTACCAGGCATAGAAAGAAGTCTCTAAAGCCACTTATAGCCAGAGAGGACATTTTCTTTTCTGCTTAATGTGGTTGCAGAAGAAATCACAAGCAGCTTTGTTTCTAAAGGCCAGCAGAGCAAGCTGCACAAACGTGTTGGTGATCTTATTCTCTGTTCCCATCCTCTCCTAACATGTATCTTCAACCCTATGTTCTTAATGTCTGAGGTTTAAAAAAATGTATTACCCATTTTCTTCTAAAGACATCCCAGCAAACTGTCAAAGGATTATCTTGTGACAGGGTAGCAACACAGTTATGTACCAGCTATAGTGGACTGGATTTTCCTAGTCACAGTAAGTCAGCTGTATTTGTCTATGTTGACTCTTACCTTTTAAAGTGCATAGTGTACTTTGCCTGGAATAATTTACAGTAGCAAAAATTCCCATTTGCTTTCATGTATTCTTGTGTTATTGGGACTTATTATTCCTAGCCTAGTTTGTCACAGAGTTGTTCTTGCTCAGTGTGCCATAGGCCACAAAATGATGGTGCCATGCACTCTCATCCTCTCTGTATTTGAGGCGAGGGGAGGCACAACTGAGATACAATCTCTGAATTGTAGATCTGTTTAAATAAATTGGACTTTCAGTTTGAGATTTGGGTCTGCAAAGTGCTGGTTTTGATTATAAGACCTCACAGTTCTTCGCCCTTGTTAAGCAGTATTTCAGTGCCTGCTGGGGTTGTGCTTGATAAATTGAAGTTAGCTGTGATTTTTATTGTTACAGTAAGTGAAATTATATTCCCTTTCCCTTGGCATTTGTTTCCATTTTCACTCTGTACCTAAACAAATGACAAAACTTCTGAGATGTTGCGTGTGTCTTTGTGCACTTTTTGGTCACAGAGAGCTTTAAAAGTCTATAGCTTCAGGCAGGCACATTTCTCTGTTTGACACCTGCAGAAACCAGCACTGTTGCTTTCAGTCCCTTCCATGGTGCAAATTATTTTTCCCTGCCTGTCAGTCCAGTTCTGTTAGCTGATGCTAAGCAGGGGCTGGGCCATGGCTCCAGATTACTTTCTTTGCCTAGCTCGTTTGGCATTTGTCTCCAATGGCCTTTCTGTGTCAGAAGAATAAAGATTTGGAATTGTACCTGGCCCCTCTATAGGGGTCCGTAACATTTTGTCCATATTCTTAGGGCTAGATTCAGTCTATTTATAATTTATTTGTATTGTGGTAGGGCCTAAAGGCTTCTATCAGGGGAAGGACCCCATTCTGGTAGACATTACCCTGATGACCAGGCAGGCTCTATCTGGCTGTAAATGTCTAATTTTTCTTTGCACCAACCTCAATAATTAAGGAGTTCATTAGGTACTCTCATAGTTAGGTTTAAAAATAATCTCTTTCCTATACATGCTAGAATATAAAGTACCCACAAGAGCACAGTTAACACTTTCTTTCTATCTTTTAGTTGCATCTAAATACAAACAGTGGAACTAGGCTAAAAATCAAGGATCGATTTTATAAATGTGAGACCAGTTCAATTGCTGAACTGTTTTAGATACTCCATATTGGATAAATAGTCAGCTGCTGGAATTCAGCATAGTTTCACTGGAATCAATAAAAGCATTCAGGCCAGTTAATACAAAATTAAGTTCTAAGTCAATTAGTTAAATGGGTATAGATTAGTTTACAAAGCTATTGCTGTTTTTTCTTTTCTTTAAGGTAAAATAACCTAACAAGATAACCAAGTTATTTCAGGACATAGGGAATTGTACATTTATGAAATTACATATATTAAATAAAGTTCCTCATCTCTAATTTAAAGTATAGGTCTAATCTGAATTGTACTCTGACTTCATTGCAGTTGTTCCCTCTGCCTTTGATTTATGTTGGAAATCACATAAGTGGATTATCAAGTACCAGGAAACTCAGGTACAGTAAATACAGGGCATAGGTAAGCTGTTTGCTTTTTATATATATATATTTGTAGGCTCAAAGTATACATTTAAGATTAAAAATTTCAAAGCACTGCAGAGGTGCTTCTTATTTTTAAATCAGTGATGCATGGTTAAGTTCCCTGCACTGGTTGGAAAGTCTCAACCAAAGCATCAGACCAGTTTGCAAACTATGAGTTGCATTTTAGAAGTACAGTAAAAGCTCTGTTATCCAGCATCCCCCAAGAATGGGGGATGCCGGTTAATCAAATGTGCTGGTTCATCAAATGGCAGACAAGGTTCTTTGGGTGAATCTGATATGTTTTATTAGACCAACTAAATCGTTGGAGAACAATTTTTAAGCAAGCTTTCGGCTGTGCTGGTATGCATACAAGACAGGCAGTCAGTGCAAATATAAATGCATAAATGTATGCATACCAGGACAGCCTCTGGCTTTTTTATTTTTCATTCCATCCAGGAAGAGCACACACCAATTGCAGAAACTTCCTTAGCCTGACGAAGGGTTTTTGAACCCAAAAGCTTGCTTAAAAATTGTTCTCCAACTATTTAGTTGGTCTAATAAAAGATATCAGATTCACCCAAAGAACCTTGTCTGCCTATGACCTTAGACCAACACAGCTACAACCTACACCCTTGTAACATGGTTAATCAAATGTGCACCATCTGGTGCACTCCCTGGCATCAGTGTGCCAGGGGACAGGGAAGGGGCCCCACACAAGCTGCTTTGCCCTGCGCAGGTTGCTTTGCCCTGGGCTGCGGGCTGAAGAAGTGACAAAGAAGAACTCCGCTCATGGCGGTGAAACTGGTAGTCCTCGGAAGTGGTACTTCTGGTTTTGCTTTTACTGCGTCCCTCGGATGCTGGTTAGTAGAGCTTTCCAGCTAATAAAGTGCCGGTTAACACAGTATTTTCTGTACTGAGAGGAAGCATAAATACAGCTTCTTTGCACCAATTACAGGGTTTGATTGCTTTCTGCGGGTTCTGCATGTGCGAATTCGCTCTTATGTAATGACCCTTTTTATACCAAAAAATTCATTATATGCGAGGTAAACTCGTTCTTATGCGATTGGTGTGGTGAAAGCCTGCTGTCAGCTACTTTGTATGGTGCACTGTGGGAGCAACGCACACCAAAATATAGTGGATCTTTGCTACTCACTCATTGTCTGCGACACGTGTTTCTGTAGTTGTCATCTCCATTAAGGTAACATTCACCACCACCCTGTGCTTGTGTGTACTGTCTGCTGTTGGTGAGTACCAAAATTGTTTTGTAAAAGTGGTAGAAATGGGTCTGGGGGTCAGTACAATAGAGGTGTTGGAACATTTCCCTATTTGTTACATTGTAAAGTGGGTTTCCTTTTGCAAATTTGAGTTATGTGCCATTTTCCAGGAATGCATGTACAGCATAAAGCGAGGGAAACCTGTAATGTGTTTCCGCCAATGAGCACTGTTCTGGGTGGTTGTCTTCATACCAGTGGCTCAGAGGAAGGGTTTATGAAGAGAACATAGACCAGAGGATCTGCTGTGTGGATTAAATGAGTAATCTTCCAGAGGAGTAGGAGCACCTGAGGGTAGCAAGACTATAGTAGCATCTGAGATTGCAGTCTACCCCTGGATCATGTTACTGAAAGTTTCCGAATTCCAATTAATAGATTCATAGATGTTAGGGTCGGAAGGGAACTCGGTAAGTCATGGAGTCCAATCCCGTGCCCTAGGCAGGAAAGAGTGCTGGAGTCAGATTATCTGTGGAGTTATGCTAGGTGATCCTTATTTTTGGCTGAAACAAAATAGATGGGAGAAAGGGATGATATGCAGAAGAGAGCAGACTGGGCAGTGAGCTTTTTTCTAAAGGCACTAGATACTTCTTACACTGAAGGCAGCTAAAAATATATGCGCAATTTCCTAAAATATCTTTTCTCAGTATAAACAATTGTTTTTGCTGAATGGTGTTCAGTTGCTTGTGGGAGGGGAGTGATCTGTATGATTGAACATGAATGGGAAGCTAAGTAATATGTCAGACTACCTCTGGTACCTTGAAAAGAAGTTTAATGATTATTGTAAACTTTTATCTAGCTTGCAGCATTTTAATGATAAATACATTACAAGTGGGTATCATAGTGGGTTCAGATATCTGTTTTATAATTTTGAATGGCTTTGTGGAGCCTAATATTTCTTTCTTTTAATAAAACAAATGATTTTTACAGAAGATTAGAGACCTGATTCTTGTAGCTTTTATTCGTGCTCCATTACATGTACGCACAAATTTTCCTGTTGAAGTGACTGTTCCTTTCAGTACTGTTTTATAAACCACAACAGTATGGCTGTCAATAACTCCTTAGCTAAAGCAAATGTTTTCAGTGAAGTCTAACAGTTTTGCTGTTTCACAAATTGTTGCAGTTCTGAAATGGAAAGGGTTTTGTTTATTATAATTCCAAATGCAAAACCTTCCTCTCCCTCTGTCAAAGTATTCCTTTAGATTTGCTATTTAAAATCACTTGTCATCTTTTCATGTGATAAAAGTAAGAATGAATGCAGTGTTCTTATTGCTAATCTTTTATTTATAATGCAGAATTTTCCACTTCATGTAGTGTTTCTGAAAGGATATGTCCAGAAGACAAATATAGGTTCTATTTATATAAGACCATCTTTCAGTGAGTTTTAAGATTTTTAAATCACAAGCTGGGATTTGTAGCATGATTTAACACTGTTGTTAGTTGTTATGTTGTAAATGGGATTAATTGGTCCAGATGGCTATATTGTGAGATTTCCAAAATGTCAGCTTCAAGTGCATTATCAGTAAATGCAGAAGGCCCCCCAAATACAGCATTCAGTGAGTTCTAACAATCTGCTTTTCAAAAGCAATACTGTAATTTGTTTTATGGGCAGGGTTGCATCACCTTCCTTGTTTCTAATATGCACCATATTTGTGTGTTTTGTACTTTGTGAGTGAGTTCTACATGTAGAATTCCTTGTATTTTTTATTATACATTTATAGAAATCCTAAAGTTAAAGTAAGTGAAATTCAGTAAATTCAGCAATCACTGATTGTCTTTAAACATTAAAATAAGGGCCCTCAATTTACGTATTTTTATGATCTCTAGGATTTTTGTAGGCTTCAGTTCATATAGATTGCATTCGGCAGAGGTTGAAAATAGCCACTGCGCTTTCTTTCATCCTTTTCTGACACAAAGGGGACTTTGTAACAGGTAGCAGCTTCTTTGCTTGTTTTAAAAAACTGGCAAGCCTCGTTATTTCAAGTTAGTCTGTTATCTAATCTGACTCTAGTGTCAGACTGACATTTTTATGTATGTTAAAAGGCTGAGAATTTGTTCTGGTAATTTAAAGCTGGTCTAATAATTTCATCCTCTGCTTAGTAAAAATAGATAAGGATTAAAAAATAAGAATGCTATGCATCTGACCCTGTGCTTGGATTTTTTTTGACAGTTTGCCGATGTTTACAGTGCTCAGGAAGTTTACCATTCCACTCACCTTACTGCTGGAAATCATCATACTGGGGTGATCTGTTTTTTCCATTTTAAAATACCTTTATTTTATGTCATACCAAAAGGGGTATTTTTGACATGTGATCACTGTATTGGATGCCTCATTCTCACTAGCTAATAGAACAGGGACGGGCAATTATCTTGGGCAGAGGGCTGCTTAGTGAATTTTGGCAAGCCATCGAGGGCCGCATGACAGGTGGCTGGGGACAGATAAATACTTTCCTAAATTTTTTAGGGGCCCCACAGGCTGGATAGAATGGTCTGGGTGGCCATATTTTGCCCACCCCGTAATAGAACATATCAAATACTTTAGAAAGCAGTTAGGGATTGCTTATTCATGAAATTGGTGATTCATAAATGCACATACATGTAGATACAAGAAAATATTTCTGCCTGCCCTAATTCACTTGACTCCTTCACATGAATAAGGCAAGCAGAATGGGACCCAGTGAGTTTTGATTGGCTAAATATGGTAATTTAGCCAATAGGGGTAATATAGAAATATATATATATATATTTATTTTTATACCAATATGTAAACTATAGTGGTATAATATATATATATATATATATATATATATATTTATATTATACCACTATATTT